TTGGGTCCTTCTTGGTCCAAATTAATCTGTACTCTTTCAGGGTCTAGCAAAGAAATGCAAAACATTCTATTGTCCAATTTTTATTTTTTAAAATCTCTTTTGGAGTAACATTTCTGAGAGAAGGAGAAATGGAACAGGGTACGTTGGGGGAAACAGTCAAGACACCTTTGGGCTCTGCTTCCTTTGAGGGGCATTTCCCAGATCCCAGCCTGGATCTCAGTTTGTCCTAGGAGATATGCTTCGGGGGAAGGGCTGGCTTCTCAGCACTTGTCACTCACCAAGTAGTCACCTGGCTCTCCCAGCCTCCTAGGCAGTGAGTCTCGCTTTGCCCTTGGGAGTGACACTGTTGAGACTTTTTGGTGTACACACACAGCCAGGTTTCATCTGAACAGCAGACTCCTTACACATCTGTGGGCAGAGCCCTGGGGGTTGAGTGAAGATGGTATTTTCCTCCTCTGTGTCTTGGATTCCTTGGATGCTTGTGGCCTAGCGGGGAAGATGCGTGTGAAGCCAAAGAATTGGAAGTATAAACTGCAGGGGACAGGAGAGGAAGAGGGAGAGGGCTGTTAGGTGAGGCCTCTGGCCAAGGGCCTTCTACTCCTTAATGCCTGTGCGCACGTCTTTTCCTCTGGAATGTGCAGGGTGATTTGTTTAATTGAGCATCATCTCTGTGGCCTTAAGGATTCTCTGCCTCTGTTGTCATGTGAATGCCAGTGAGTCATGAACTCCTCCGTTCCTGACCGGTTGGTCTATGGCTCTTGACTGCACTGCTGTGTTTTTGGTTCCCTCTTCCTCCTCTCTCCACCCACCCACCTATCCATCCATCTGTCCTTCTATCCATGTGTCCATCTGTTGTCCATCCTTTTTATCTACCAGCCAGCAAGTATCTGAGGGCTTTGCAAGGCAGGGCACAGAACAAAGTAAATGGACAAGAAAGAAAAAGTCCCAGCCCCCCATGTGAGAACCAGACATTAACCCCCCCAGTTACACAGGCGATCATTCATTTGCAGTTATGGTGAGTTTGGTGAGGGCAGGGTGTTTTTCAGGTGACCAGCAGGAGACAGAAATTCACAGTAGGGAGAAAGAAAGGCCTCGAAGAAGGCCTCTCTGTGGAAGTTTCCTTTATGTTTAAGTTAGAAGCTGAGGGATGTGCATGCATTGAGTGGAGGAGGCTGGTACTGTCAGGCAGGGCAGACAGCCTGTGCAAAGGCCCCACGGCAGGAGGAGCTTAGAGCTACTGCAGAACTGAAAGGCTGCTGTGAGTAGGTCCTGCAGAGGGACCAGAGTCCCTGGGAGGATGGGGCTGGTCACACAGGGCTGCAGGGTAACCTGACTAGAATGTAGAGAATGGGCCTGGGTTGGGGGTAGTGGGGAGTAGACAGGCTGGTGGCAGGTGATTTGGGTGGGTGGGAGGGTGGAGAGGATATGATCTGTGGGCAGCTCAGCCAGCCCCCTTCTCTCCACTCTGGCCCTGCCCTGGACCTCAGAGGAACCTTTGGAAGTCTGCTTACTCTGTTGCCTCCAGCACACCCACACCAAGGCTTCCTCCCTGGGTCCTTCCCACAGGTTATTTGCCCAACAGCGAGCACGCCGTGGAAGCCATGCTGGCTGCGGCAAGTATCGGGGCCATCTGGAGCTCCACATCCCCGGACTTCGGTGTGAACGTGAGTCTGGGTCCCCAGCGGAGGGGGTGACTGTGCCCTGTGAGTGCCCTGGGCAGGGGTGGCTGCAGGTAGAATTCCCATGGGGCTGTTCGGCAGTGCCGTGGAGGCCTCCCATGACCCTGGCCAGTGATGGGAGTAACAAGAGAGAAAGACCCAGAAGGAGCTGCACCTTGTTTTTAAATGTGAGGATGAGCTGGTTCTTCCTTACTTTCAAGTGAGTCTAACAGTCCCACTGTATATGGGATGACCTTGGCGGGTGATGTGTGCAGTGGCCAGTGTTATTAAGGTCCAGTGAGATCATCTTGTCTTCCTCACCTGTGATGTAGTGACCATGTGGGATTTCCTAACCGATTATCCTCTGAGGATGGTTTTCCGGATTTGTTCTGAAGCTGTTGCTCACAGAAGTCCCCTCAGGACCTCCTTGCTTTGATTAATGTGGTCCCCTCCCTCCTTTGGCTCGTCCTCTGTGCTATGTGGGCATGTGCTCTGGGAGGGGGGCCTCTGTGTTCCCACACCACCCTGAAGGAACCATACCACCCCAGGGTGTGTCCACTGCCCAGAGGGGACCAGGCAGTGACCAGAAGTGCACAGTAAACTCCATGGGGCAAATGAATCAGCAGCAGGGTGGGACTTTCTGGATGCCGCAACCCCTGCTCCCCAGCCAGGGCCCTCTCCTGGCTGCAGAGTCTTGGGCATCAGGGACCTTCCTGAGCCATGAGGACGGACCCTGTTACAGGACATGTGTGTCTCTGAGCACTCTTCCTGGCACTAGGCTGCTTTTGTTCTGGGCCAAGCCCCACTGTGCGTTAGTTGGGGCAGCTCAGTGGCTGAGTGCTGGCCAGGCTCAGCTAGCCACAAGCCCTAGGTGAGTCATTTATCCCCTCAGATTTCCTCATCTGCAAAATAGCTGCAGATCTGGAGACAAATGTAAAATAAGTCTGTGCACGCAGGACACCTAGAGCAGTGGCGGCCTGTGGGAGGGGCACTGCGTCTTATTGGTACTGTCAGGGGCCAGTGCCCGGAGTCAGTGTTCATGGTTGCTCACAGGTGAGGCTTTTGGGGTGTGAGCTTAGAGATGCCTGTCTTCTTTGGAGCTGGCTCTTCTGGTAGGACTTTGAGGAGTAATGGCATTTCCCCCACACTGCGTGGGGGGGGATCAGACACAGAAGCCTGCAGGGGTGAATGGTTGACCAAGGTGTCACCAAGTTCACGGTGTCACTGAGGGAGGGGATGACCACCCTGTAGCTCCCTGCTCAGTGCCCCCTGGAACTTTCTTGAACCCTTTCCCAGACTGCTTCAACCCTAGGACCCCCTGGGTCAGTGAGGACTCTCCTGAGACAGCAGTGCTACCTGTGGCCTGTTCTGTCCCCAGGGCCCTCTAGGGGGGGCTTTGTGAGCTGCTTGGGGCTGGCACTGTCCTAAGGAAGGTTGGGGAGGGTCAGATCCCTATTGCCTCTGGGCCCCTTGGCAGGGTGAAGAGAAGGGCTTTGGCCAGAAGATGGGTTGGTGTGGTGGGCGCCCTGGGCTCAGAGGGCTTCCCAGCTCTGTGTCATCCTTGGGTGGGTGCCTTAGAGTCCTCATCAGGAAAAGGAAGCAGTAACATAGACATGCAGGGGCTGGTGAAGATACCTTCTTGGGGCTGGGGACAGGGCTTGACCTCCTGGCAAGTGTGGTAAGTATGACCTGCTATTAACTAGTCAGGAGATGGGAGTGTTTTGAGTTAAATTTCAGCCTTTTGTAAGTGGGTTGGGAGATGTTGGGAGAGCTGTGTGTGGTGTGTGTGGGGGTGACGAAGACTACCACGGGACAGCGGGGCTCCTGGAACTGTCATTTGGTGGCGTGGCTAAAGCTTGTGGGGAGGGGAATAGGTAATCTCTGCTTTACAGCAGTTGCCACCCATAGCCTGTTCTCATGGCTGCATCCGGTCTGGCTAGTCCACTGTCCTATGTATATGACACTCCTGGCTGGCTCTGAGTGGACCGAGGCCTGACTTGTGGCTCTGCAGTGAGCATGGTCTCTGGTCTTTGGGATGCTATTTCCCTGTCTCTGGCTTCTGGACTCACAGTATCTGTGGGCGCTGCCTGGCAACATGAGCGCTGGAGCAGGACGTGAACACTAGGTGGCAGCACAACTCTGCTCGCACCGTACTGGCAGCTCCAGGGAGGAAATCTTTCCAGGCACCCTGGGCTGTGTCTCAGGGTCAGAAAAAATGACAGGGCCAAATGCCTTCCTGCTAAAATGCTTGAGTCTGCCTAGATTATGGGAATGGGTCACATTTTGCTGGTGTCTGAGGTGTAGAGTCCTCCTTCCATCTTGCTGTGGATGGGGCATGTGTGCAATCCCGTGTTGCTGGTGTTTGTAGTGAGATCTAGACAGCAGGCATGAGTTGGTAGCTGTCCCTCTGCTCACCCCATGTGGGAGGTCATGTGGCTGACACGTGGCATAGTGCCTGCCCGGACACTTGGTATCTGTGAGCTGAATAGGGACATAGGACAGATCAGTGGTGCCAAAGTCTGCAGTGCTGGCAGGTCATTCTGTTCCCCTCCTCTGCCATCCTTGTTCCGGGGCTGGGAGGAGTTCTCAAGTTGGGCCAGTGAGAGTCCCAGGAGTAAGCAGAGGCTGAGAGGCTTCCCCTGCCTCTTCAGTAGTTTGCAGGTCTGCACGTAGGAAAGAGGAGCCTGTTTTTAATTTCTGCCATCACCATTTTAAGCTTCAGATGGTGCCTCTTTTTGGTAATGGGCACTTTGCTGAAATCTGCAATGAAACGTGAATGTCTTTCCTACTTCAAATCGTGTTTTCTGTTGCAAATCACTAAGAATTCCTATTATAAAGGGAAAATTGCCACTGTGCTACAAATCCTGTTTTGAATTATTTGGTTTCATTATAGCCCAGTTGTCCTGGGCTCTGAAGTTAGTTCTGGAGCCTGCACAGACTGCTGTGGAGTTGCAAAGCAGGTGATTTTCAGGTATGGGGGGGCAGGGCCTCCTTACAGGTAGATCCACCTGCCCACAGACTGTGGAGGTAACGCTCTGTGCCTGGATGGGCTGAGGGCCAGAGAGACCCTCTCTGTTGCGGTACTGCAGACTGTGGTGGGCTGTCCATGGAGGACTGGGGCACCCATCTTTCCTCAGCCATGCCAGGGGGATGTGTTTTTGGCTTCTATCACCACCTGTCCCTCTCCTCCCCTCCATCTCTGCTGGCTGCCCACGAGGCTCAGTGTATCTAATCAAGACCATCTGGGCTTGGAGGGCAATACCAGGTAGGGGGAGTCCCCTGTTCTTGGGGTTCCCAACCTTCCAGCCTCATCAGGACTTCAGGTCCTACATTTTTTGAGCTTGTTGTTTTTTTCTTTGTTTTGCTGTTTACCTTTGAGCCTTTGGCATTTTCAAAGGTGTTGGTGGAGGCCACTCTCTGACAGTGCACACCCTGAGGGCCAAGCCTGCAGCCCTCTTCCTCCTGAAGCATTTTCAGTTGGCCCTGTGAGAATGTGTGTGTGTTTATTTGTAAATAGGGCAGCCGCTCTTCTTGCGCTGGGTGGGTAGCTGCCATGATTCCACACTGGCTGCTGGTTTCAATGCTTGGCTGGTTGCTAAGCACGGTATTCAGGGCAGATGCATGATCACAGGTGTGTTTTTTTCATCACAACATGAAGTAGTTTTCAAGCAAGTCTCCGTCAGGCCAGTTTTGGATGCTCAGAGGTCTTGACCTTGGCTTCCTCACCAGGAGGACGTCAGGCGTTTTGTGAGAACTCTTTTTTTTTTATTTTTTTTTTTAGACCGAGCCTCAAGCTATCCCCCTGGGTAGAGTGCCCTGGCATCACAACTCACAGCAACCTCTAACTCCTGGGCTCAAGCGAGTCTCCTGTCTCAGCCTCCCAAGTAGCTGGGACTACAGGCACCTGCCACAACGCCCGGCCATTTTTTGGTTGCAGCCATCATTGTTGTTTGGCGGGCCCGGGCGGGGGATTCGAACCCGCCACCTTAGGTGTATGTGGCTGGCGCCTTAGCCACTTGAGCCACAGGCGCTGAGCCTGTGGGAACTCTTGAATCTTTTCATGTTTTATTAGGGTGCAGGACTCTGATTCTGAAACACTGGTTGTCTCTACAGTCTGGTTGCCAGGATCATGGTTACCTCTGTGCCATTGGAGCTCCAGATCCCTGGCAGGCTATGTCTTTTCGCCCTGAGTTTGTTGTCACTTTATGTGAGGATGGTGGCTTTATTCCACACAGACAGTCTCTGTCCCCTGCCGGGGCTCTCCCAGTCTGGATCTGTCCAGTTCCACCCCGACCTCAGGCTTTCTAGACGACCTGGCCTTTCCCTTCTGTGGGTTCTACTCCCTCTCTGCCCTGCCTGGTGGGGACCTTCTTGTTCTTGACCCCATCTTAGGACATGCACCCAGCAGTCTGGGTTTCCTCTTTCTCCTCCTCCTGATTCAGTCTGGCCCAGTATGTTGGTACCTGCTTCTATTCTGCTGTCATTTGGGTTTCCCCTGTCAAACACAGTGTCAATCTTAGCTGAGGCAACACCCAAATCAGACTGGCCTGGCTGTAATTCTATTTGTGCCGCTGGCCAGTTGTGAGGCTTTGGGCAAGTTACTTGCCCTGTTCCTGCCTCATCAGGGATATGGAGCTAAGAATGTTACCCTTCTTTTAGGTTGTGAAGGTCAGACAGGTTAGAATGGCACCTGGCAGCACTCAGTAAGTGTTTGATATTTTACTGGCAATAATTCTATCCCTAGCTAAACCAAAGACTTGCAGTTCAGTCTGTCTTAGAGTCCTGGGCACAGATAGGACACTGGTATAGATGTGCCATTTGTGGTTTATGTGTTCACTACAGCAGAGGTCTGGAAAGGCCCCATGTCTGTGGGTGAGGGAGCTGAGGCATCTTGGAGTGTTGGGACCCACTTTGCATAAAGGTGACTCGGGCTGGAAGGAGCCAGGTCCAGGGATGCCGTGTCTAGAGCCTCAGAGCCAGGTATGGGGGAGTAAGGAGTAGAGAGA